TAAGGCGGCAGTGAACCCCCTGATGTCTTCCCTCACCTGGGTTATTTCAGTGGAGAGCGTTTGGCGGAGGTCCGTGAGAAGGTTAGTAATTACCTCCGTGGTGACCGGGTGAGAGGAGCCTGCTGTCTGCTGTGGAGGTTTGGGGGGCCCTTTATACCCTAGCGTACCTGGGCTGTGTAAAGGGACCTCTTCTGAGCTGTCAGTGAAGTCGTCGTATTCAGCCGCCATATTGGATCCGGCCGCGCCATGCGGTCTCCTCAGCAGGTCTCCTATGTCCGCTGTAAACTGCGGCTGATCCGCCCGCGTTTTTTTATTTTTCCTCCCCATCTGTGTGGCTTCTCTTTCCGACCGTCGGCCGGGTCGTGTGAGGCTTGATGTCGGCAGTATTTAAGCCGGTAGTGTTACCCGACCGGGAGAGCTGCAGTCGTGCGTCCGATCTCGCTGGGCGCTAGCTCCGCCCCCTCGAAGTACTTTTTCATTTTAAGTTATCTGTTCTAACTCTGTATCTGCACACTATGCTGGCGCGACGCATTATGGGGCTGGTAAATATTTTTTTTCCAGGGCTGCTTTTAATTCCCAGTCCAGCCCTGTCTGTATGTCATGGGGAATATTCACTAAGCATTGCATTAGTAAAACAATTTATTCTACATTAGGGACCCTTAACCACCTGAAGAGGAGCATGTCCACCCTCTATTTGTTTAATTCGTTAGAGCCTCCACCAAGGTTGGGGTGCACACTTGGTCCTACTCCCAGTATTAGGGCCCCGATCCATCACAAATGGAAGTGGGATGGCTGAGGGGCACTAGGTACTCCCCTCTATAGTATAATATTCCCCACCCGTTAACAACAAATGGCGACATAAGGATAACCTCCACTAAGGTCATTAAATTAATGGGTAGGGGTCATTGGGCGAATTCTATCCCACCCACAATATTTCAGAGACACCTTCCCATAGAACGTGGCATATCTAGTGACTGGCAGCAATAGATGGCTAGATACTATTTTTAATATAGTTTAGCAGATATGCCATCATCTGCTGCATGACTGAAGAGGGCATAGCAAGGCAAAATACCTCCCTTATAGTAGTATGGGGGTCAAAATGACCCCATTGAGTTTTTTATTCCAAATGTATTATTATTATTTATTTTTTTAAACATTTTCTATGTGGCAGTTGGCTAGCAAGTGCTGGCCGGCCGCCACATAATTAACCATTGCCCTGCCAACTATTTGCCTGTTGGTTGTCAGCGTGCATATAGTTCAGATTTTTTTAAAAGTCACCTCTGGATTTGTAACATTCAGTCAAGACTTCAGCTATCCATTAACATTCTGTTTGGATGAAAATCAGACCAAATTCAGGCCGTTTTGAGGCCTGAATTAGAAAATCCTATTGAATAGCATGAACAATATCCAGATTTTACAGTCTGATTGTTTTGTCCCTTTCAATCTGTAGTGAACAACCATGTAAGAGTGCCATGAGTGAAGTTGGTGAGCAAGGCACTTGTGATTAAAGATAGAATGAAAAAAACATGACATGTGCACGGTCACCTTGTCGGCATATGCATAAACCCCACCATTACCCATTTTCCAATAAAACACTGACCATAGTTTTGGCAACATTTATATCACAGCTTTATTGATTCTTAACATAAAATATAAAGGTCATTGTCAACAGCAGGCCAACAATGGCCTGCACAATTACCATCCTGCATTTTACAATTTAAACTCCCTGAAAATGACCCACTCCCACATAACATAATACCCAAACATTGTAACATTTAACTTAACATTGAAACATGACCATTGCCACCAAAGGGCACCATCCATTGCCACCCAAGGGCACCACATGTGTAGGGGCATACCGAGACACCCTTACACACCTCGGTCCGGAGTTACCTACGAGTTCGAACCTACCAAACCAGTCCAAAGGCCTACCTATTAGCCCTGAACTTCAAATTTTTTCCCCATCTCACTCTTTTCTCCCCCCAACTTTACTCTCCATCCCCGCTGCTGTGACCAAACGGGAAACACCTAAAAGCAAAGGGAGGGTGGGTGGGACAACAACAGGTAAGTGTAACTTAGATTAAACTGATCCCTAGATCTAAAATGGCCACTACTTATACTCCCCTTATAACTCCACCCCACTCCATTTCCTTAAACCAATCCCTAACCACTGACCCTTAGATGCCTGTCTCCTGGCAATGTCAAGGCCCACTCCCCTTGGCTATGCTGCTCCATGGGCTACATCTTTAAATGTAAAGTAGATAGCGACTCCAAAGATTTTTTACATAAAAATTGGATAGAAGCTGTTATTTTATTTTCCACACTATATATGGTGGGAAGATACAATACATTAATGATAAATGTAAAGCATACGCAGTATATGTCTGCAGTTAAGAACATTCCAACATTCCAACTGGCAGAAATCAGGTCTCCTAAAACTTTACTGCACTAATCAATGTTCTCTACAGTTCTAATTTCAAGATTTGTGACTGGCCTTTGACCATATCCTTCTGATGTTAACCAGAGCAAACTATTACAAACTAATGCAACTATTCAGATCGAAAGGACAATTCACCAATTAACAATAGTATAAGTAAATACACAATGGTATGAGAAAATTCATGAAAATGGAAGGAAAACGTAATAATACTTCTGGAAGTAGGAGCTTATATTTAGAGAAAGCTAAACTATAACAGAGTGAAAGTATTCAAGAGTGATAACACTCCAGTGTAAGCAACATTGCATGCGCGCAATATTGAAGTTAACCAATATCTGATACACCAGACTAGCCATACAATTTAAATGTTTCTAATTTCCATAGATATTACAGTAAGAACCTTTTGCATTCAATCTAATGCATCTTCAGCTGTCTCACATTTAGGAACCTAGAAGTGAAAAAGAACACATTTTCATGGTTACTGTCAACATTTCAGGTTACCCTTGAAACAACAGAAGCAGAAATTAATATTTCTCACAGACCTAAAAATAAAACATAACTTAGCTGTTCAGGAAGTGTAGGTGTAGACACGAAATACATACAGTTGCCTTTTTCTAGTTTTTGTTTTGTTTATCTTATGTCTATTATCCGTAAGTATGTGGAACTGTATTTCTGCCTTGCATTTACAATTTATTCAATAAAGATCACCTTCTTTTGGACTTCCCTCAAAGAGTGGTGAGTGCAGTTTATATAGTGTTTTACTGGGCTTCAGAAATTAATTGGAGCAAAGGAATTAACACTACTGAACCCCTTGCCTTTTAAAATTAGTTATATTATATTTACTATTTTTGTTTCTTTCTAATTGTGGAAACGGTACAATTTTCAAATATGTCATGGCACTTCACTGAAATTAGAGGTCCCATATTCTTCGTAACATTGTGTAATATGGGGGGGGGGGGGATATTGCAAGTTGGGACATTACTCACAATGCACTTTTGAGTAACAACATCTGTCACAGGTCAGTTCCTCAGTGGATCCAAAATAACATTGAAAAAAAAAAAACTAAACTAAAAACCATACTTCTCACTGTGGGTTAAAGATACAGAAGTGAACTGAACCCAGTACTTTACCATAGAAGTAGCATATACATAGCTTTCTTACTTCTCACTGTGGGGTTAAAGATACAGAAGTGAACTGAACCCAGTACTTTACCATAGAAGTAGCATATACATAGCTTTCTGGGACAAAGAGAATTAGCTTGCAAATGTCAAAACACCAGATTCAACAGACATTGATATTAACATGTCCCCATGTACTTTTGGGGTTTTCATATATGTTTTATGGCAAAGGTAGGCAACCTTTCAGCGGGACTGTGCCAAAACAAAACTTTGAAGTCCTATGTCTTGCTGGGCCTATATATTTTAAAGGGACACTATAGTCACCAAAGCAACTTTAGCCAAATGAAGCAGTTTTGGTGCATAGATCATGCTTCTGAATCCTCACTGCTCAATTTTCAATATACTTAATATAAAAATACCTGCTCTTCTGGCTTGCGATCTGTGGTTGGCAGCATACTCTAGAATCAACTAACTGGTCTGGGAGTGCTTCCCACGGTCATTTCTAGCTATCCAGCCAAGGTTTTACTGCCGCCACTAGTGCAGGAGGGAGAGACTGCCACTCTTCCAACTGGCCGCAAGCAGGATCATATCTGATTTAAGCTAGTGCCCCGCAACCCCTCTTTGGACCAATTGGGGTGATCCTGGTGCACACCCAGGAGGCTCCTCAGATCTGCCAAGCTTTGATGTTGGCACTGCAGCTACTGACACTGCCAACAGTGAAGTGCACAAGATGGCGGACTTGGTCCTACCCCCAGAATATTAGTATTAGGGCCTGAGCACACCAGAGAATCTTCCTCTATCATAAGCCAACTAGACACAATAGTCAAAGCATTTTGGCAAAAGCTGCAGGCTCAACAGTACATACCTGCTCACTGAATCATCCAATAAGTTCTGAGTCTACCTCAAAGCAAAGTAGGTAGACCAGCAACCTGCAACACTCAAGCGGTGCATCTGGGGCAGCGAAGGCAGAAGGTGCTACACAACCATTCACTGCCACTGAAGACCCACAGAGAAAGCTTGGTGTTACCACAGCGGGACAAGTGGAGGAGGGAAACCCATCTGCTGACACTGAGCCGATCTCCTGCACATATGACATCTGGCCTGAAGGCCTGTACACTCTTTTGGAACTGTATCCTGTCCACGATGGGCATAAGCTGATTGGCATTCTGAGAGCATGGTAGCACCTCACTTCACCTGTTTTACTGCTGTTGTCTTTTCTTTTTACTGTTTTATGCTATAGGGGCGGATGTGAGCTATGTTGTTAGGGTGGAAACTACAGGATTTGGTGATCGACTGGATATGAGGGGTGATGGAGAGGTCTGAGTCAAAGAGAACACCTAGGCAGCGAGCCTGCGAAGTAGAGGTGATGATAGTGCCGTCGACTTGGATGGAGGCAGACAGACAGTGGCAACACTGGGAGGAAAGACCAGAAGTTTTGTTTTGGACAGGTTGAGTTTAAGGAAGTGAGCAGCCATCCAATTGAAAATGGTAGAGAGGCACGAGTCAAGATGGGCGGAGAGAGATCAGGAGAGGACAGATACATTTGCTTGTCATCTGCATTTAAATGATAATGGAAGCTGATGAGTTTACCAAGAGAGACGGTATAGATACAGAATAGTATAGGACAGAACCTTGGGGAATGCCAACAAAGAGGGGTTGGGGAGAAGAGGCAGATCCAGAGAAAGAAACACTGAAAGAGCACTAAGAGACGTAGGAGGAGCACCAGGAGAGAGCAGTATCCTATCAACCGAGATTATGGAGAATAAGAAGAAGCTGTTGATGATCAACAGTGTCAAAGGCAGCAGAAAGATCAAGGAGAATTAGGATAGAGTAATGGCCACAAGATTTAGCAGCGATTAAATCATTAGATACTTTGGTCACAGCTGTTTCGATAGAGTGACCCGGGCAGAATCCAGACTGAAGCACATCAAGCAGAGTTGGATTTGAGGAAGTCTGTCAATCTTGCATACACAACTCTCTCAAGGATCTTGGAGGCAAATGGCAGTATTCAGATAGGGCAGTAGTTGGATGGGGAGTTGGGGTCAAGGTTGGGCTTTTTCAGAATTGGGGTTATGGTTGCATATTTGAAGGGTGAAGGAAATGTGCCAGAGGAAAGGGAGAGATCGACATTTATTGTGAGAGGGAGACAGAGTGCGGATGAGATATGAGGTAATAGAATTGAAGGAACAGGAGGTGGAGCAGGAGGACAGGAGCAGAGCAGAAACCTCTTCCACTGTAGCAGGTGCGAATGAACATAGAACAGCGGAGGGAGTGGGGTTGGATGATGTATTGGTAGGGGAGGGATAGAGTTTAGAAATCTCTTCCCTGATTGTTGAAATCTTCTCAGTGAAGTGAGTTGCAAAGTTTGTGGCGGACAAGGTTGTAGAAGGAGGGGAAGCAACAGGGCAAAGAAGAGCATTAAAAGTGTGAAATAGGTATTGGCAGGAATGGCAGGAAAGTGTGCTTATGAGGTAACTGAAGTAATTTACTTTTGCAGAGGAAAGATCCAAACTGCAGGAGAGCAGCATAAATTCATAGTGGAGGAAATAAGATGCAGAGTGAGAATTTCTCCAACAGCGTTCTGCAGTTGTGGAACATTTTGGAAGGTATCGGGTCAGCTTGGTGTGCCAGTGTTTGAATTGGGAGCACTTGCTGCGTTATAACTTTGGAGATGCCATGATGCCTAGTTGAGAGGAGAAAGTGAAGTTGTAGAGTGAGGTTTCAGAGTTAGGGCAAGTGAGATTTGAGATGGATAAAAGGAGAGTTTGGAGGTTTCTGCGAGATTGGAGAGTTGTGGGTGGTGAAATATGGGTACGGGGTATGCCGATGTCAAAGGTCATCAGATGGTGGCCAGACAAAAGAAAATGTAACAATGGAGAGATTAGAGGTGGTACAGAGATTAGTGAAGATGGGGTCCAGAGTGTTTCCTGCTGTATGAGTTGCTGAAGTAGACGACTGAGAGGTCAAAGGAGAAGGTTACAGAGAGCAGTCGGGCGGCATCAGGGTGGTTAAGGTTGTTCATTAGGATGTTAAAGTCCCCACGTATTAGTGAAGTAGTGCTAGAGGAGAGAAAGTGGGATAGCCAAGAAGAAAAGTGTTCAATGAATAGCCAAGGATTACCGGGGGGCCGAGAGATGATGTCAATTCCTAAAAGAGTGGGTTTAAATATGCGGACAGTTTTAACTTCCAAAGAAGTAAAGGATGGGACAGGGGCAGGGAGGATAGGTTGAAAGGTACATTTAGGGGAGAAAAATTTGCCTACACCGCCTCCTTTAAAGTTGAGTCAGGGAGTGTGGGAGAAACAAAGAAGCAGGAGTAGTGGTATCAGAGGGGGACAGCTAGGTCTCAGAGAGTGCTAGTAGTGTGAGGGAATTAGAGATGAAGAGGTCGTGTATGGCTGTTGATTTAATATTGATACAGATGGAATGGGCGTTCCAGAGTGGACACTGAATGTTGGTAGAGGAGCATAAAATTCTGGGTATTCAGCTGAGGTTCTCATGGTTTCTGGTTGTCTTAGTTTGAGCAGACAAGGTGAAGGGTCCTTGGTTGGGAGAGACATCACCAGCTACTAGAAATAGGAGGAGAGATAATGACAGGAGGTTTGAATGGGTTTTATATGGGTGCGGTCTAGGATGAGATTGGGTGGGAGCAGGAGAGAGAGAATAGAGAAATGAGTGCAGGGCATGAGATGAGAGAAGGGGGGAGTGTAGCAGAGAGGGATTAATGTGTATGTGATTGTGTTGTTAAGGGAAGTGGGTGTAAGGAGATATTTTGATTCTGAGGGAGAGGAGAGAAAAGGAGAAGAGGAGACGACAGAGCATTGCTCAGATGAGTAAGTACTTTGAGAAAAGCAGAATGAGCAGAAGTAAGAACAATGAGGACTGAGTGTTATGGATTAAGAGAGTGTAGGAGTGTGCTGATTACAGGCAGTGTTTGCAGCTTTCATTTTTAATTATCTAAATTTGTGTGTAAATAAAAATAATATATATATATATATATATATATATATATTTGTGTAATCTTTTTACTTAATTATCTGATTTTACTAATTACAATTTGAGGGACCTGCCTGACAACCCAGGCAGAAAGTCCAGAGAATTTAATTTGCAAGCCCTATCTTTTACCCTGTAACTGTCATGATTACTAGTTGATCCAGCACGCAGAACTGTATCACACCTAGGACTAAAGGTAGCATCTTACCTGGCCTTATAATGGCTGGACTTAGCGTACCAAAGAATAGTCAGAATACTTGCCGAGGTCGGGGATACAGAATGAGACACAATGGTGAGGGAAAACCAAAAGTCAAGGATGCCAGAATACAGGGAAGTCAAAACGAAGCCAAAATCAATAACCAGAAATAAACACTTAGGAACACACTCTCGGACAACCACTAAGGGAAACCACGACAGGGCAATGAGGTAAGGCAAGAAAGGAGTTTAAATAAGTCTCCTTTATATCCGATTATGAATGTACATGCGCGTCCTTTGCATGACGTCACACGCATGTCAATGTCATAATACCATGGCCAGACCTGGGGTTACAAATTGGTATGGATCCGCAGCTGCTGGCATCTTTCAGCATGCCGCAGGAGCCAGATATACCGAGTCTGAAGGTCAGGGGAATAACTAAGGATATCATCCAGGTATACCAGGACAAATGAATAAATATAGTTCCTGAGTACATCATTAATAAAGTCTTGGAACACGGCCACTCACCGAATTGTATGCACTCCTGAGGTCAAGTTTAGGAAAGACTTCAGCACCCTGGATTCTGTCAAACAATTCGGAAATGAGGGGAATGGGATAGGCATTTTTAATGGTTATCTTGTTTATTGCCCTATAGTCAATGCATGGGTGTAATTCTCCATTTTTTTTAGATACAAAAAAGAACCCTGCACCAGCAGGCGAGGATGATTTACGTATGTGGCCCTTACTTATGAGGTGCCAATGACGTAGCCATACGTCTAGTTCTATTTCTGGTAGTTTCTCTAGTTCTGAGTCTGTTATCAATCTGCATTACAAACGTGATAAACTCATTTAACCTTTTAGGTAGGTCTTTGGCAGCAATTTCATCCAGAATAGTCTCGGGTAATCCTTTTTTAATTGCCGAGATTAATCCGCTATTAGTCCAGTTTATCTCAGAAGCCAAGGTGCGAAATTCTATGGCATAATCTGAGATAGACCGGTTCCCTTGTTTGATATGCATTAGGGCAGTGGAAGCGTCATCCTCCCTGCCTAATGGTTCAAATGTTAATTTGAATTCCACAAGGAATTCCTGGTAATTATATGCAATACTCCTATTACTCTCCCATAAAGGATTGGCCCAAGCTAAGGCTTTACCTTTTAGTTGGTTCATTAGGTAACCAATCTTAGCTCTATCCGAGGGAAAAGATCCCAATGAGGCTTCAAAGTGGTACTCAATTTGATTCAGAAATCCCGGGCATTCTTGAATATTACCATCAAAATGTGGAGGAGGAGATAGGGAGATAGTAGGTGTCTTATGTACTATAGGCGGAGGTACTTTAGGCAGAGGTGACATAGTCGGAGAAACCTCAGGCTGTAGATGCGCTGTTCGAGTAAGGAGCATACTTAAAGCCTGGGCAAACTGATTCATACGGTGATCATTCTCGTCTAGCTTTCTCTCGCAAGCTGCTATGTGTTGACATGGTTCTGCAGGATCTATGGCCATGTCGTAATGTCAGGATTACTAGTTGATCCAGCACTTAGAACTGTATCACACCTAGGACTAAAGTTAACTTCTTACCGGGCCTTAGAATGGCCGGACCTAACGTACCAGAGAACAGTCAGAATACTTGTCGAGGTCGGGAACACATAATGAGACACAACGATGAGGGAAAGCCAAAAGTCAAGGATACCAGAATACAGGGAAGTCAAAACGAAGCCAAAATCAATAACCAGAAATAAACACTTAGAAACACACTCTCGGACAACCACTAAGGGAAACCACGACAGGGCAATGAGGGAAGGCAAGAAAGGAGTTTAAATAAGTCTCCTTTAAATCCGATTGGCCGTACCCGGCCTATGAACCCAGAATGTGCATGCGCGTCCTTTGCGTGACATCACACGCACATCAACGTCATCAATACCGTGGGCGGACTCGGGGCTACAAATTGGTTTGGATCCGCAGCAGCTGGTGTCTTTCAGCATGCCACAGGAGCCAGATATACCGACACAGGGCCGCCGACCAGCATCTCCACCAATGCCAGGAAGGTAGTCATCCTCACGGACACCACAAGGTGAGGATGAACATGTAACAGTAACTTTCCAAAACATCATAAAACATGGAGGGTACTGTTTTACTTGTCAAACTTTGCTGAACACAAATATTAGTGTGGTAAAACAGTAAAGCATATCATGGCGATTAAATAATCAGTGAAAGTGCAGTTTTGTGTAAAAAAAAATGCAAAAAACAAATATGAATGCCAACTTTGACCAGGGCTACTAAAATAGAAAGTGCATACTCTATTTTGAATGCCATGGGTTGTCCACTTTTTAAAATGGTATGCCATGATGGGGGTAATTCTCATTCCTGTGCTGCCATAATGCCTCAAAGGCAACATAAGCAATCTGGCAAATTTCAATTTGCAAAAACAGAAATGGGCAAGTCTTATCTTTGACACTGTAACTTCCCAAAACACCATAAAACCTGAACATGCGGGTTACTGTTGTGCTCGGGAGACGTGAGTGAACACAAATATGAGTGTTTTAGAGCAATAAAACATAT